GCTGAAGTAAAAAAAGCAGGGGTAGCAATCCTGATCTCAGACAAAGCAAAAGCAAAAATAGATCTTATCAAAAGAGATAAGGAAGGAAACTACATGCTGCTAAAAGACACCATAGACAATGAAGTAATATCATTACTAAACATATATGCACCAAATGGTATAGCATCCAGATTCTTAGAAAAGAAGTTCAGGGAGTTACAGGAAGGAATAGACAACAAAACTATACTAGTGGGGGACCTCAACCTCCCCCTCTCTGAACTAGATAAATCTAACCACAAAATAAACAAGAAAGAAGTTAAGGAGGTGAATAGAATATTAGAAAAGTTAGGTGTGATAGACCTGTGGAGAAAACTGAATAGGGATAGAAAGGAATATGCTTTTTTCTTGGTGGTACATGGCACATACACAAAAATTGACCATGTACTAGGGCATAAAAACCTCACAGTCCAATGCAGAAAGGCAGAAATAGTAAATGCATCCTTTTCAGATCATGATGCAATAAAAATTATATGTAATAAAGGGACATGGAAAGATAGACTAAAAAATAATTGGAAACTAAATAATCTAATCCTAAAAGATGATTGGGTCAAAGAACAAATCATAGAAACAATCAATAATTTCATTCAAGAGAATGATAATAATGAGACAGCATACCAAACTTATGGGATGCAGCAAAAGCAGTTCTTAGGGGAAGTTTTATATCTCTAAATGCTTACATAAATAAAATAGAAAAAGAGGAGATCAATGAATTGGGCATGCAACTAAAAATACTACAAAAAGAACAAATTAAAAATCCTCAATTAAACACCAAATTAGAAATATTGAAAACCGAAGGAAAAATTAATAAAATCAAAATTAAGAAAACTATTGAACTAATAAATAAAACTAAGAGCTGGTTTTATGAAAAAACCAATAAAATAGATAAACCTTTGGTTAATCTAATGAAAAGAAAGAAAGAAGAAAACCAAATTACTAGTATCAAGAATGAAAAGGGTGAGACTACCACCAGGGAAGAGGAAATTAAAACAACAATTAGGAATTATTTTACCCAACTATATGCCAACAAATTTGGCAATCTTAGTGAAATGGATATATATTTATAAAAATATAAATTGCCCAGATTAACAGAAGAGGAAGTAAATACTTAAATAACCCCATCTCAGTAAAAGAAATTGAACAAGCCATTGATGAACTCCCTAGGAAAAAATCTCCAGGGCCAGATGGATTTACATGCGAATTCTATCAAACATTTAAAGAACAATTAATTGCAATACTATAGAAACTATTTGGTAAAATAGGTAAAGAAGGAATCTTACCAAATTCTTTTTATGATACAAATGTGGTGCTGATACCTAAACCAGGAAGAGTCAAAATTGAGAAAGAAAATTATAGACCAATTTCTCTAATTAATATAGATGTAAGCATTTTAAACAAAATATTAGGAAATAGATTCCAGCAACTTATCACATGGATAACACACTATGACCAGGTAGGATTTATACCAGGAATGCAGGGCGGTTCAATATAAGGAAAACTATCAGGATAATTCACCATATCAACACCAAAACTAACAGAAACCACATAATCATCATTAGCAGAAAAAGCTTTTGACAAAATACAACACCCATTCCTATTAAAAACACTAGAGAGCATAGGTATTAATGGAGTCTTCCTTAAAATAATAAATAGCATCTATCTAAAACCCTCAGCAAGCATAATATGTAATGGGGACAAGCTAGAAGCATTTCCAGTAAGATCGGGGGTGAAACAAGGATGTCCATTATCACCACAGTTATTCAACATCGTACTGGAAACATTAGCTTTAGCAATAAGAGAAGAAAAAGACACTGAAGGCATTAGAATAGGTAAAGAAGAAACAAAGCTATCACTTTTTGCAGATGACATGATGTTATACTTAGAGAATCCCAGAGAATCAAGTAAAAAACTACTTGAAATAGTAAACAACTTCAGCAAAGTTGCAGGCTGTTGAATAAACTCACATAAATCATCGGAATTTCTATATATTACCAACAAAGCCCACCAGCAAGAGATAGAAAGAGAAATTCCATTTAAACTTACTGTAGACATTATAAAATATTTAGGAGTCTACCTCCTGAAACAAACCCAGGAACTCTATGAATACAATTACAAAACACTTTTCATGCAAATAAAATCAGATCTAAATAATTGGAAAAACATCAGTTGCTCATGGGTAGGCTGAGCTAATGTAATAAAAATGACAATTCTACCTAAGCTAATTTACTTATTCAGTGTCATACCAATCAAACTACCAACAAATTATTTTATAGAGTTAGAAAAAATAATAAGAAGATTCATTTGGAAGAACAAAAGGTCCAGAATATCAAGAGAATTAATGAAAAGAAATGCAGAGGAAGGTGGCCCAGCCATTCCAGATCTTAAATTGTATTATAAAGCAGCAATCATCAAAACTGCTTGGTACTGGCTAAGAAATAGAGTGGTGGATCAGTGGAATAGGTTAAGTATGCAAGACACAGTAGCCAATGATGATAGTAATACATTATTTGATAAACCCAAATAGGGTTTATTTGATAAACCCTAGCTTCTGGGATAAGAACCCACTCTTTGAAAAAAACTGCTGGGAGAACTGGAAAAGAGTATGGCAGAAACTAGGCATAGACCAAAATCTCATGCCATATACCAAAATAAAGTCAAAATGGATACATGATTTAGATATAAAGGCTGATACTATAAGCAAACTGAGAGATCAAGGAATAGTTTACCTGTCAGATCTATGGAGAACAGAAGAATTCATGACCAAACAGGAGATAGAGAACATTACAAAAAGCAAAATAGATAATTTTGATTACATTAAATTGAAAAGTTTTTGCACAAACAAAGCCAATGCAACTAAGATTAGAAGGAAGGTAGAAAATTGGGAAAGGATTTTTACCACAAGTCTCTCGGATAAGGGCCTCATTTCTAAAATCTATAGAGAATTAAGTCAAATTTATAAGAATACAAGCCATTCCCCAGTTGATAAATGGTCAAAGGATATGAACAGACAGTTCTCAGATGAAGAAATTAAAGCCATCTATAGTCATATGAAAAAATACTCTAAATCACTATTGATTAGAGAAATGCAAATCAAAACAACTCTGAGGTACCACATCACACCTATCAGAATGGACAACATGACAAAACAGGAAAATGATAAATGTTGGAGAAGACGTGGGAAAATTGGAACACTAATGCATTGTTGGTGGAGTTGTGAAATGATCCAACCATTTTGGAGAGCAATTTGGAACTATGCCCAAAGGGCTATAAAAATGTGCATACCCTTTGACCCAGCAATAGCCCTTCTAGGGCTATATCCCAAAGAGATCACACAAATGGGAAAAGGATATACATGTACAAAAACATTCATAGCAGCTCTTTTTGTGGTGGCAAAGAATTGCAAATTGAGAGGATGCCCATCAATTGGGGAATGGCTGAGCAAGATGTGGTATATGAATGTGATGGAATACTATTGTGCTATAAGAAATGATGAACAGGCTGACTTTAGAAAAACCTGGAAAGACTTGTATGGTCTGATGCTGAATGAAGTGAGTAGAACCAAGAGAACGTTGTACACAATAACAGCCACATTGTGTGATGACTAATATTGATAAATTTAATCCTTCCTTGCAATACAAGGATCTAAGACGTCTCCACAGGCCTTGTGATGGAAAATGCTATCCACACCCAAAGAAAGAACTATGGAATCCAAATTGTTATTTTTTTCTTTTCTGTTGAGTTTTGTTTCCTCTTTCTGATGCTTCCTCCTATTGATTTTAATTTCTACTTACAACATCACTAATGTGAAAATATGTTAAATATGATTGTAAATGTATAGCCTATATCAGATTGTGCGCTGTCTTGGGGATGGTGGTGGGGAGGAAGGGGGAGAAAAATTTTAAACTCAAAAGCATATGGAAGTGATTATTGATAAATCAAAAAATTTAATAAAAAATTAAAAAAAGTTTTTAGGTACTCAATCACACTATGAGTCTATTTGTACAAAATTCTTGGAGATATTCCTACCTGCAAATATTTCCCAGCTTTCACTGGTCAGTGCAAATCCTTCCTTTAACATCAAAAATGGACGTGGTTTTATCAGTGGAAATGAAATGAATGAAGAGGTATTACCATCTGCTTTTCCATTGTACCTTAAAGAACCCAGGCACTTTTCATTTTAATTTCATCTGAAATTTGCTGTATATGTTGTCTTTTTCCATTAGAACATTAGTTCTTTGAAGGCAAGGATGGTCTATGATTTGCTATCTGTATACTTGGTCTTAACACAATGCTTTGCAAATAGTAAGGGCTTAATACATATTTTCATTCATTCAGTGAACAGTCAAGAGTCAACAACTGGACTTGGAGTCAGGAAGGACAATATTTAAATCCTGTCTTATTAGTTGTGGGACCCTGTGCAATTCACTTAACAGTCAACAGTCAATGATAAATATGTTAACTGATTGCTCTGTGCTAACACTGTGCTTAGTGCTAGGGATACAAAGAAATGAAAAAGTAGAGTTCCTGCCCTCAGGGAGTTACACATTCTAAATGCAGAGACAAGCATTCATCTCATTTTCATTCATTCACAGACAGCCTACCATCTGGAAAAAACAGTCTAAAATACAGAAAAAAAAAGCTGGAACAAAATCTGGATTTTCCTTTTGGAATTAACAAGCCTGCGTCACTGTCTTTCTCTGTCAAGAATAAAACCGCACCATTGGCCAAGATGAAAGGGTTGCCAATATCTATAATTAATGTTATGGGTCTCTTTGTCATGTGAAATATATCTGGCATTTTTTTTCTTATATTTGTCATTCATTCATCAGTGCAAAAGATCTAGGTCAGAAGCTTCACTCTCCAGGCACGTTTTGCTCATCAGTGTGATCCATTCAGCATTAGTTGATGGGACTATGTTATATTCTAACACTTGTTTTATCGTGATTGTTCTCTAATTTTTTCAGAGCAAATTTTGATGACACTGCAACTTACTCAGCTGTGGCAACCAATGTCCATGGACAAGTCTCTACCAATGCTGCTGTGGTTGTTAGGAGTAAGTATTAAAATGGGAAGAAGCATGCATTTTTCCTCCTTCTTTCCTGTTTGCTTTTGACAATCTTCAATGAAATATTTTGCAGGGTTCCGAGGAGAAGAGGAACCATACCATTCTGTGAGACTCCCCATTGGGTGTAAGTGTTTTGTTTTTCCTTTTTTTTTTTGGAGGGGTTTAAATGCTGTATAGAAATCATTATTTTAAAAGTCAACATTTTATCTGATATCAAGTAGGGAGTATATTTCCAAAGTTTTTCAAAGATGATTTTCATGCAGTCCAAGATTCAATTAGCTTCTTTTCTTCTAACCCTGTAAAAGACAGGATTAAGTGATTCTTAAAAAGATGAACTGAAAGAAAAACCCTGTAACAAAAAGATTCATGCTAGCGTATTTGAATCAAAATCTCTCTTCTGTGCTTTTGATATGGTAGGCCAATGCTGTTATGAATAAATTTTAAAAAATTATTAAGTATTTATTATGTGCCAAACTTCATGCTAAGCACAGAGGATAGACATGCAAAAAAATGTGATGATCTCTGTTCTCAAGAAACTTACATTCAAATAGGTGAAAGCATAGAATATAGGAGGAGGTGAGCAGATGGGAGGTATTTTTCTTGGATTGTTGCTGTGGGCTACTCTAAGTCTAGGGCAGCTTATTTTTATGTTCCTTGGATTTTGTTGGCCTACAGGAGTTAAGAAGTTAGGTTAGGCTAAACCTGTTCTTAGCAAAGTCCTGTGAATAACTTCTGCCTTATTAAACCATGAAATTTGAGCAACTATCTTTCAGACTAACACAGTAATTTTTATGAACTATGAAGGTTACCTGTAGCCTAGTGGGAAAGTGTCTAAAGATCAAGACTGGCATAAATGAAAAGAGTGAGAGATCACCTGTAAGCTTTGTACAATTTAGCTTCTACTTGTGCAAATGACTGTGTTTGCTTACAATGGTTTTTTAACTTTATCCCAATTTCACAGCTTGGATATTACAAACCAAGGGTCTGCATGTGAAGAGCCCAAAGTAAAATATCTTATGCTTCCACAGAATACATCAGTAGCAATTCCACTGAAACCAATAGATATTCAGTAAAAATTATCCACTAGAGCTGCGATATAGGCTTTGCACATTGTCAATTCTAAGTCATATCTGGATGAATTACCAATGACTTGGCATAGTGGATGTTTAGTGGACTGGACTTGGAGTCAGGAAGACCTGTGTTTAAATCTTGCCTCAGACATTTACTGGTTATATGACCCTGGGCAACTCACTTAACTTCGCTGTGCGTCAGTTTCCTCATCAATAAAATGATAGGGTTGGACTCAATGGACTTTAAGGTCTCTTTTAAATTTATGTCTTATGATCTTTTATATCCTGCTGTAGGCTTTTAGATTATCAACTCATAAACTTTTCTGACTTTCACATAACAGTTTTTTTGGTTTTCAAATGTTTAATATACATGAAGAAATGGTAAGTGAGCAAATGTTTGAATGTGTCTTAGGGTATCCCCTTGACTATATTCATAGACCAAATAAAAATTAATTGATTTGGGGATTATCTTAATTGTGGGGATTATGGAGGGCCCTTAGAATTTATTTATTTTCCATATCCTGAAAACCCAGTCCCATAGATATTAAATGATTTGCCCAAGGTCATTTAACTAGATAGTGGCGGAATCAGGTCTCTGCTTCCCAGTATGGTTGATTTTCCATGAATTATATGAAATAACTTCTCTTACACTCCTTTCTCTGCTCCCATCTTTTAGAAAAGGTAATTGAGGGACAATTGCATGTTTCCCTATTTTTTAGAAGTAGGAGTTTTTTTTAATACTCTTGTAAAGGTAGTAGGTCATACTTTTAAGTAGTAATTAACACTGAAATATAATATTCTGAACTATTTAGCTGATATATTTTGCTTTAAAAATCTACCTGGACTGCCTGTCTTTCTTACAAATGCCTGTTACTCATTTTTGCAGTGCCCTTGTCATCTGTAATTCCTTACACCCATTTTGATGTTCAATTTCTGGAGAAGTTTGGGGTCACCTTTAAAAGAGAAGGTGAAACTGTTACTCTCAAGTGCTCTCTGGTGGTTACTCCTGACCTGAAAAGACTCCAACCTCGAGTTGAATGGTATAGAGATAGTAAGTACCTTTACTTTTGTCCTTCTGAAATCTGTGATTTTGTTAGTATGGGCATCTCCTCTAACGATAGACATCTTCTGGTGGCCAAATCTTTGGTGACAAGCATCTCCAGTTTTGGATAGGCTGGCTTTTAGATGATAGTCTAACCCACGGTCTATTCTTAATACCTTTCCAACTCAGTTGGACCACATAGTTTTCATTTCTCTTTCATAGTTTTTGAGAGCCCAGAATTGCCTCCACTTTATATTGAGGCATCAGAAAAGGACTTCAGTAGGAATATATTTTTTAAAAGTTGAACATGTAAATCTATAGAAAGGAGATTATTTGGGCAATTTCTCACTTATCTCCAAGTTCTATGCATAGAAATGAAAAGTGATTCATTTGTATTGATTTTTGTGGCACCTTTATTATAACTACTTTTCCAGATAAATATTTGACCGCATCATTAGCTGAAGGCAGCCAAAGCTATGTTGAGTGACTAGATAGAATTTGGCAGCAATGTAATTGACCTTGAGAGTTATCTAAAGGAATTGTTGACAGGTTAACTTTAGGGACTCTGAATTTAGATGAGTTCCCAGAAAGGAATTTCTGTTGGTACTTAAGAAGAATATCTACCTGACAGTTGCCTTGAGCCAAAGAGGTGTCAATTGTTTCCCTTGGCATAGTAGTAGGAAAAGTATCTTTTGCTTGTAGATTTTTGAATATCAAAACCAATCTGCCCCACTCTTGGGTTTTTCCTGAGTTGCTACTAAATATTTGAAGGAAATATTTACCACTGCCATCATTGTCATTTGGTTAGTGCATTCCTCCATTCATGCTGCAATACTATGTGCAAAGCATTATTCTATGGCATGAACACAATTCCAAATACTTGCTTTATGCACTACTAGACCCCCCCCCCCTTTTTGGGGGAGGAGTTACAGGTAAATCTTGGTAAGAGGAATCCCTCAACTAGTGCAAATTGGCACCTGCTCTGTCTGGATAGTCTTAAAGAATTGCTTATAATACTGAGACTTACCCAGGGTTACACAGTTTGAATGTGTGAGAGGCAGGACTTGAACTCAAGTCCTCTTGACTTCAATATGGTTCTGATAATAAGTATCTTAGGGAGAAAAAAAGCACTAGGGCCTAGAGAGGTCTAGGAAGGGTTCATGGAGAAGGAAAACTGGGTCATAAGACTATAAATTTAGGGCTTGAAGGGAACTTAGAAGACATATAGTCCAACCTGCATGAGAAAATTGAGGACCATGAAGTTAAATTACTTGGCAAAAACCATACACGTATTAAATGGAAAAAATCAAGTTTTAATCCTAGATTTTAGGATTCCAAATTCAGTGCTCTTTCCACTGCACTATCAGTAATATTCTATTTAGTGGAGAGGAGAGGTGTTAAAAGAAAATCTTTCTTTGGGCCTTGCCCTCAGTAATGAAGCAAACCCAGGAAGAGAAAATTTAAAGGAATTTATTATACCACCCAGGGCAGCTAGGTGGTATAGTGGATAGAGTGTCAGGCCTGAAGTCAGAAACTTATCTTCATGAGTTCAAATCTGGCCTCAGATACTTGCTAGCTGTGTGACCCTGGGTAAATCACTTAACTCTGTCTGTTACTCATTTGTAAAATGATCCAGAAAGGAAATGGTAAACTACTCCAATATCTTTGTCAAGGAGACCCCAAATGGGATCACAAGGAGTCAGACACAGCTGAAATGACTGAACAATAACAATGAAAATTGTTACACCCAAGGCAAAAGTGCGTTGAATGGAGCCAGACCACAATTTCAAGATCCATCCCCCAACCCCCTTTATAGACAACTTTTCAAATTAAGAACAAGACATCCCTGATCAATACTTGTTCCTGAAAGGCAATGGACTTTTGCTCTCAGCTATTCCCTCAATGTCATGCATCATAGGGAAATGAGATTAGAGATAAAGGGGATGGGATGAAAGCCCATGTTGCTATGTGCATATCAGCAGGTAATGCAAAGGACAAAGGGATGGGATCAAAGTACATTTGGCCTCTGTGTTTGACACCTGAAGACAAGAAAGATTGGAAACAATGGAGTCATTCTGGACTAAATGAGCACAGATTTCAACATGTGGAAGGATTTTTCCAGGGAGGAGGAACAATATGAGCAAAGGGGAGGAGACACAAAAGTGCAAGTGTTTAGGATATCCTAACTAGATGGGATTTCTTGTTAGGATAGTTATAAGCATGACAATAATTTCATACTAAATATACGAAGATGGTTGTGTGAGGGGAAAATCCTCCTGGATCTCTAGCATAATTTGATGGGGGTTGGAGGAGTAGAAAAAACATATAATTTACTGAAATGGAATTTGGACATGAAAAATCTCCATAACACCTAAAATTACACTGAGCTCAACCTTTGAAATTTCACCTTTAGGTGGAGAGTGCCTGTATTTCAGATTCCAAGGAAGTTTCATTAACCTTGATCAATTTGAGTAGAATATATTTATAGGAAAATTTACTCAAGTTTAGCCCTCCATTTTCAGTTATATTCCTGTGATATTTGAATGTGATTTGGCCATAAAAGTTGCCCATCATAACCGGTCATAATCAGGTCTTTTAGATTTTGCTATTTAAATGCAAAACTATAAGAACAATTGTCTATGGTTTGTGCCTAATCATTAAAATGCAAGAGGATATTTTTACTATTTAAAATTAATAAGCTGCAAGCCACTTGATGGAAAGTAAGCCCCAGAGGCAATGTCAGTCAGTTGAGTGAAATCCTTTAAAAAACTATGGAGAAATGGACTATGCAAATTGGAAATCTGATATTAAAGACACAATTTAAAATGGATCAGCTCTCTGAGGCTATCATACTAAAGCAGTCACATAAGAAAAAACCTCAACAAACTGAGTATTTACAATAAAACCACTCTTTTTGGTTGACTCAAAGTCACTTTATATATTTCTGCTGCTGATGTTGTAATAATGAAACCAATACAGTCCATAGATCGAGACCTCAATTCATAGTTCTGGTTTTAAAAACCTTAAAATTCTGGCTTCTTAAAAAAACTCAGTGGCAATGATGAGTCATGAACTGGTCCTAGTTTAGTGTGAACATTGGCTGCAAATTTTAATGATGAAAAAAAAAAGTCTTTTCCTTTAGTATAGATGAGGAACTTCCATGAGCAGAAAAAAACAGCCAGGATTATTATTATTATTATTATTATTATTATTATTATTAGTTGTATTATTTGTATTGGCAGCCGTCCCAGAAACACGGATAATTTTGCAAATCATTTACAATGTCCATTTCCTCGTGTTCATCAGCTGTGACCTCTCAAATCATATTTTCTTGTGCTTAATCTTTAGCAGGCATTAAATAAATATATGCTGAATTGAATGGAGAGGTCTACTATCTACATACATGTGGAATTTTATTCTTATATATTGTAGTGAGCTAGAAGACATTTGTAAAAGTGAGATATTCTCTGATAAAAGTCGGGGGAAGTTAGGTTTGTTGTAAGTAAAGTACTTTTGTAAACATTAAAGTGTTTTTTTTTTAAACATTCCCTCAGGGCTTACTCTCCCAATTTCCATTTGGTCTAGCAGATTGGTTTTCTACAAGGCAATGACTGCTCCTCTCAGGATTCTAGAGGTAATCCTGAGGGAGTGGGTCTATTTTTCTAGCTCTTTTTATCATAAGTTACTATCTGATCTTTTACCCATAGCTTACCAGCTACCCTGACCTAATTAGCTCTTAGAAAGGTGGTGTAAGGTGGTATATTAAGAAGTTTGTACAAAACATCATCACTTCAAAATGGTGGCATACCCAAAAGTAAGTAGAGTCCAGGGAGAAATGAGCTTAAGTTCAAAGATCTCATGTGGCCAGGGAGTGAAGCATGGTTTCTGGCAATGGGAATCCTTGTCTCCTTTCATAGGGGACTTAAAAAGTTCCTGGAAGGATAATTCTTTTCTGGGCTCTGAGGGCTGATGCCTCTGTAGAGTTCATTGCTCCAATTCCCTTTGCCCGAAGAAGTCCAGCTCTCTGAAAGCTCCCTTGCCTTGATGTTTCTAGTTTATCCTTTTTCAGTTCCTGGCTGGTAGTACTGTTTGTTACTGGTCTAGACTCTTGGATGACATGGTCTACATGTGGAGATAACACTCCCTCTGGCCTTATTCCCCACTTCTCCTAGCTACCCTTTCATTAAGGTACAAAACTGTCTCCTCAAAGCACTCAGAAACTCTCTCTGCTCACTGCTGGAATGCCTTATTTGAAATGCACAGGCCCAAGCCTGTCTAATTCTTTCAGCCAATGTCAATGCATTGGCTAGGTATCATCATCTGATTTCATGTAATAGCTCAAAGTATTTCACTTCTCCCAAATTGATTAAGGACTTGTTTGTACCTAGTTACAGCTTAGATTGATTCTGTAACACAAAGAAACATTCACATCAGTTAAATATATCAGGTTGTAGAGTTCTTTGGATACATAGTTTGTACTGGTGATTGTTTTCCTGAGAGTCATGGGAGCTGGGTGAATCTGACCCACACTCTAAATGAATCATGACAATCTTTGTGGCTATAGTTATGTGGAAATAGGCAATTCACATGGAGAATCTCAAAGTTGCTAAGGTCACAGGATTATAGATGTTGAGTAAGAAGAGACTTTAAAGGTCAGCTAGTAGAACCCCTCATGTTATGGATACAGAAATTGAAGCTTAGAGAAATTAAAGTGACTTGTCCTAGGTTATAACTGTCAGGGTCCTGTTTTGAACCTAGGTCCTCAGACTCCAAGTCTAGTTCTCAGTCCGCTGAACCACACTGCTTACTCTAACATTTGTTCCTTTATTAGATTGTAAACCTTTAGGGAGTTGGAACTAAGGAATTTTCTTTCTTTGTGTCTTTTTTTAATATCTAGTATTGTTTTTTGAAGGGAAAAATCTGTTGATTAGCAAATTGCTCAAATGTCCAGGTAACTTACACAGCTAAAGAAGAAAGGTTATAGTATTGTCAGTGGATGAATTAATGAAAGAGTCATACGTTTGAAAGGAATGCAAAAGAAAGTCCCTTTCCCCAATTATTACTGTTCCTAAAACCTAGGATAGTTTGAGCCTAAAGGGACAATTCTACTCCTTCCCTTTTATTTCTAATGAGTGGAAATGCTCAGGTGTACAATGCTCAGGTATCCATATACACACACATATATATTTCCTCCCCATAGTTGTTAGGGTCATAGATCTGGAAGAAACTTAAGAGACTAGTTAGTCCAGGGGTGGGGAACCCGGGGCTTCAAGGCCACATGTGGTAGTAGCCTTGGGGGTAGCCTTTTGATGAGTCCAAGTTTTACAGAACAAATCCTTTTATTAAGGGATTTGTTCTGTGAAGTTTAGATTCAATCAAAGGGCGCATGTGGCCTCTGAGGCCTAGGCTCCCCACCCTTGATTCTAGTCCAACTCTCTCATTTTACAAGTGAGGAAACTGAGCTCTGGAGAGGTTAAGTGACTTTCCTAAGGTTAAACACTTTCATTTCAGATTATAGCAGTGGTTATATTTTCAATAGAAAGAAATGACTGCTTACCCCACAACTTCTCCCCTTCTCATCTTCCCTCCTCAATACCTTCTGCTTGGGCCTACATGCATTAACTATCTATTTGCTATTGTATAGAAAATTTCTTAGTAGAGTCTTGACTTCTGGAAGCAAAGATACTTGTGTAGTAGAAAACTTTATGTTTCCCAGCCTCATAACTCTTGGAAATCACCACAAGCAGCATCAGGACCAGGGGTAACTAACAGAAAAAGCCTATCTCCTACACTTAGACTGTCCTGTCTGACAGAATCTTATGTGTTTTCAAAGGTGAAAAACGGAAACAAAGTGAGCAAAGTAGGTTGGGAGGGCCTTAAATACTACATTGCAAATATATATTCCAGCAGTCATTTACCGTTCAGAAGATATTAAGTCGTTCTAGATCTAGGAAAAACCCTTTTAATACTGGAATTGGAGGATACAGATAATACATATGATAGACGTACTGTAGTTAATAGACAGTTGGAAGGAAACAGTCCAAGCTCTCAAGGAACATACCTTCTTTGCTGTATATGTCATGTATGTTTGTGCATACAACTCTGTGTATGTGTTTAAACAACAATTAGATATGGAGATATATTTTTTATTTTATAATTTTAGATTTTAGATTTTATCTATGTGAGGAAATCTTGCCACCCATCCCCAGTACATCTTCTCAGCTCAACTGTAATTTCTAGTCTCAGAGAATCACTTGGGGCCACCAAGAGGTTATACTCATGTTACATAGCTAGCATAGGTCAAAAGTAGGATTTTGAACCCAGATCTCCCTGGCCCTGAAGCTGGTGCTCAATCTACTGTGCTATATTTCCTCTCATGGTATAGCATATTATACCATAAATATCAGGTACACACTAAAAAAATTCTTGGCTTCTTTTCTTTAGAGTGATATTATTTCTGTGTTATGGAAATATTTTTATTTTTTTTTAGCTATATGACATTGTGGTTCTATTTCATTAATTTCTGTAATGATGCTATGATTCATTAAAAATGCTATATTGTGGTAGTTCTACTTACAAGTGATTATGTATAACCTTTTGAATATCTTTTCCATGGTGTATTCCTTTAACCTAGCAATGATTCTGTGGGTGTATGGATAAGCCTGCGTGTTACATTAATGTATGTTACAATATTGTTAAAGAATGTTTTTGAAGTTTTAAATATGGAAATATATTCAATCATAGAAAAGAGAAAATGAGAAAGCAGCCCCTTCTAAATTCAAAATATTAATTTAGCAGATTGGATACTTACTGCTTATGTGCTTTTTTTGTTTGGGGAAATTTGAAAATTGGGAAGAGAAGCAAATATTCACAGATAGCCTGATGCCAGTCTGAAATCTGAATGTTTTTCCAGGTTTATTGCTGAAAGAATCTAAGTGGACAAAAATGTTCTTTGGAGAAGGACAGGCCTCGCTGTCATTTGGCCACCTGAATAAGGATGATGAAGGCCTTTATACTTTAAGGATCATTTCCAGAGGGGGCGTAACTGATCACAGTGCTTTTATGTTTGTGAGAGGTATTGCTTTTATTGTCTTACTTTTATCTTCACTTCACATACTTACTAGAGACTAGGGTTTTTTAACCTTTTTTCTGTTGTGGACCTTTTAGGCAGTCTGGCAAACCTATGGACCTCTTCTTACGATAATGCTTTAAAACGTGTACAATAAAATACATAGGGTTACAAAGGAAACTAATTATATTGAAATATACTTGTCATAGCATTAAAAAAAGTTCCTAGAAATCAGGTTAAAGGACATCGCTCCTTTTGTACCTTCTTATCCTGATGGATTCCTGTCTACCTTTTCCCCTTAATTTCCCAAGAAACATTTTCCCACTACACTACAGACAGACCTCTGGTTCTTTTAATATTTCTTGGGTACTGGTATATCACTGGAACTTACCCTTTTTGTCCCTTACTTATAATATGTGAGGAAAATAATGATGCTGCCCAAATAGGCTCACCTGACAACTGGAAGTGAAAAGAAAATTTTGGAGAAAGATGATAGTGAACCCAAATCATGAAATGTCCTCTATTATTTTTACACTTTAGAGACTAGGTCTAATGGTCGCAGTGTTAAGTGATACAGTAAATAATATTCTAACCTGGTAGTTCTACTTGACAGAGAACTATTTCTTGGGAACACCAAGCTACAAAAGATATATTTTGTCATGTTCTGCCATAAGTAGATTACTTTCTAAAAACAATGATTAACCATAATCATAGCATGTAGTAGAGAATTGGGATGTTTTGAAGTAAGGAATGTTAATCACAGGGTACATATGTATTAAGGATGTGTCTGAATGCTTCCTACTTTCTTTTAAAAATAGACTTTATTGATGTCTTCTGTTTTTATATCATCTACACTTCCCCCTGTATCTCTCCCCTTTCCTTGCCCCTAGAAAGCAAATTAACAAAACCAATCAACACACTGAAAAAAATCTGCTGTTACATGCAATATTCTATACCTCTGCAAAAGTGTATGAGAGAATGAGGGCTGAGGAATCTTTTCATATCTCTTATTTGGCCTGACTTACTTTCTCATAAATACCTAAATAACTGGGAAAATATAGACAATGAAGGAAGAAGATTCAGTTAGTCATTAGTATAATTTTCAATTATAGGATTTTTCCAAAATCTTATAACTTGAAATATTCCCCAATCACATGTTTTCTTCTTGTATACTATCAAATGGTATCCTGGTGTATTATAAGAATCCACGTGCCTCTTCTTTAATTGGATCTTATGTCAAGGTAAATGCTATTTTTACTATTTATCTATATGTAATGGAAACCCACCTAAGAATCATTGACTCATCTTTAAAATAGGGACAATAATATTTATCCTATCTACCTCACACAGTTTTTGTGAGCAAAGGTTTTTTTTTTAATAAACATTAGAGCCCTACAGGAATGCTAGTTACTATTATTATCATCTTTTTTTTTTTTTTCCTTTTTGGATGGACCTATGATTTCATTTGTGTAGTGAAATCCTCAGTATAAAACTCCTCCCAATGCATATCAGTACCTGCTATTCTATGAGTCTTAAAGAGGTTCCTGGGGGTATTGATTTGCCCAGGGTCATACAGAAAGGATATGTCAGAGGAGACTTGCACCCAAGACTTCCTGAGTCCAAGACCCAGCTCTCTATCCACTAAGCTATCATGCCTCATTATCCTTATCATTCCTTTCCTTCAACATTTCTTTCAAAGTCCTTCCCTCTCTTTATATTTCTGTTTGACTATAATGTAAATGAAAATATTTGTGACATGTTTATAATACACAAAGCACTGTGCTGGATTGGAGATTCAAAGATGAAAGAAAAATAGTTTTTTTTTCAGGGAGTTTATGTTGGGGAAGGGAATAGGTGCACAGATAAATAAATAGAAGGTAAGTGGAAAAGACCAGAGCTCTAAAAATTGGATATAAGGACAAATTTTGGATAAAAAGTACATCTGAGCTGAGATTTGAGGGAAGTAAAGGATTCTAAGACACTTAGGTGAGGAAGGAGGGCATTCTAGGCATGTGGCACAGTCTGGGATAAGACATGGAGCAAAGAAATGGAATGTTAGCTATTAGCTATTATCTATTCAGAGAATAGCTAACACGTCAGGTTGATTAGGATAGAGAGTGGGTAAAAGGGAATAAGACAAAATGAGTCTGCAAAAAATAGACTGGATGAGAAGAAACTACCACTCAGAATAATAGGTCATGGCTGTGTGTATCTCCAGTAAGCTTCTCCTCTACATACCATCATCCCTCCTTGTGTACCCTATTACATACACCTTCCATACTACCAAACATATAAAGTTGTAGAATATTTTTTACTTAAAGGAGGTCAGTCATAGCTGAGCTTCAGACAATTGTTCCTGAGGTTTTCTTTACTTCATAACAGATCTGTGCCTTAGCTCTTCTGCTTCTCTCTTTTTTATCTCTAGGTCTTGCCTGGCCTCTAGGGCCCTCTGATTTGCCCAGCATTTTTGCCCTAAGTATTAACCAATGTCCCTCTCCCCCAGATCATTAGAGATGGAAGAGGCCTCAGAGATAATCTAATGCAAGTCTTTCATTTTATAGATACGGAAACTGAGACCTTGAGGGGTAAAAGGACCCACACAGCTGGAATGGATCTTATGATTCTAAATCTATTGTTCTTTTCACCACCTCACATTCTCTATTCCCTTGTCTAGCTGAGGTGCAGTTGTGTCTACAGACACACACAGGAATATTTGGACATTCTCTCTGACCTTGACTTATTACTTTCCTTGATCTTTGGAGGCAGGGAAAAGGAGGGTAAGACCTGAGCAAGACAATTTCATATCTGCTTCAAATTCATTTGGAAGAATAAGCCCTTAGCAAACTGTTGGGTTTGTATGGTAAGGAGAGTTCAGCCTCATATCTCTGTAAGGTTCCTTTAACACATCAAATTGCCTGATAGACATTCAGGGTTTTCTCATTTGGGATAACAGGTAAGTAGAGGAAGAGAGAAGGAGAAAAGACCTTTATATACCTACCAGCCTCTGTGAATCCTCCTTACCTCTCCACCCCACTCCCTACCTCTCCACCTCACTCCGCACCTCCCCACCCTAACTCCAGACTCGTAGGTTCTCATGTACCTTTCTTTATGGTAACCTCTGAGATGAGGTTGATGATGTTCACCTCCTCCTCAGCCTCCTCTTTCTCTTCTTCCTCTTCTTCCTCCTCTTCCTCCTTTTCCTTCTCCTCCAGCATTTATATAGTTCTGTAAGATTTGCAAAGTGCTTTCTATATATTATAATCAAAGGGATCCTCCCAACATTTCTGGGAGGTAGGTGCTCTTATCCTCATCTCAGCAGATAGAATGTCATGTGACTAATAAGCATCTGAAACTGGATTTGACCTCTGGGCTTCCTAAATTCCTGAGACCTTCCTCAGTTACAGTACTCTATCCACTGTGCTTCCTAGCTACCCCCATAGAGTCTTCATCAATGTGCAACAACAACAGTAGTATTAGGATATTTTACCTTTTATGTGAACATCCAGAACATAGCATAAGGGAAGAAACTCATTAGCAATAAATGGCTTTAGTTTGAACAAAACAGGAGAATATAAACTTGTAATGTCCATGTTAGGCAGTTTTACTGACTGGCTAGGTAGACATTAAAATGTGCCTTCCATTTTGTGCACACAGCTGATGGCAAGACTCCCTCCTACCCAACAACCCATAAAATGTAATCAATGTGACATAGTTTAAATTGCCTTGCTTATTCAGCACCATCAAGAAGAAGAAAATAATGCAAATATGAGGGAGTGGAACCATTCAGATTATTTTTTTCCTGTATATTTTAAATGAAAGAGCAAATAGCTGGCTCAACAGTAAAATATTCTAAGCTTTTAATCTGCTGAAGGGAATAGTACGAGAAATTGTATAATGTTTACATGGTTAAGTATGCATAATATAGCCATGGATATAAGTGTAGAAATATATATTTTAGACTAGACAAGTAAGCATGTTTCACTGAATTAGTATGCTGAAGTAGATCTGTTGACTTTTAGCAGATTTGGACTTAAAATTTAAACTGAATAAAATGCAAGGCAGAGGGCCAGAAGAGAGAATGTACAAATATTCCTGTGTGTGTCTGTAGACACAACTGCACCTCAGCTAGACAAGGGCGTAGAAAAAGTGAAGTGGTGAAAAGAACAATAGATTTAGAACCATAGGATCCATTCAAGCTGTGTCGGTCCTTTTATCTCTCAAGGTCTCAGTTTCTTTATCTATAAAATGAAGGACTTGCATTAGATGATCTCTGAGGCCTCTTCCATCTCTAATAATCTGGGAAAGACGGACATTGGTTGATACTTAGGGCAAGAAGAGGGAGGAGGTGGATGAATGCAAGACTGGCCCAAACATTGCTCAACATTCCATAAAACATGATCAAACTTAGAATGGTTTAAGGATTTTGAAAAAGAAAAGCATCTGAATGGATTTTTATCTTGCCTTGACAAGGCGAACTGTAGCACACACACACACACACAAACAACAATGATTCTCATCACTGCAATTTTATTCTAACTAGAAATAGAAGAAATGGAAATATATTTTATGCTTGTGTGATTTTCTACTTTACTTTTTGGGTCAAATGATGAGTGGCCATGGAATTGGAAGTTGGTGGAGAAGATGCAAACACTGTAAGTTTTACCAACAAAAACCTTGAAATAAGGTCTTAAAGTTTTCTAATCAAAGGTTCAAGTTGGTAACTGGGGTTTGTAATTTGTTTTAGGAAAATGTGTTTGCTTAAGAGGTAACATTAGAAATTGTGCAGCTAGAATATTTTTCGCTCTCAAAAATATTACATGAAATTCTAGAACAAAGTCTATGTAATCTCGGGTACTAAATCACAGGCCACTATATGAAAGCAATGGAAGTATTATGCCAATCCTATTGATTGGTTGTTATTCTAAAACTGTGACTATTAAATTAATTATGTTCTGGAAGATAGCATTGTAGGTAGGCTACATGTTTACCCTTCTGACTTGACCAGAAATACTCTTTTTTCCTATCTGTTCTAGATGCTGACCCATTAGTTACAGGGGCCCCAGGAGCCCCCATGGATGTGCAGTGCCATGATGCCAATAGAGATTATGTCATTGTGACATGGAAGCCACCAAATACAACTAGTGAGAGTCCAGTCATTGGCTATTTTGTTGACAGGTGAGTAGACATCAAATTATTCTGAGACTAAAATGGCACCCAAAATTTCATCAATAATCTTATGGAGGCTACATTAGAATATTACATCATGTATTAATTTATTGTGCCTCTCCTATTGAATATATGGTACCCTATGATTTGGTGTTGTTTTTTTCTCGATGGAGAACAACTTTGGTTACTTAACTTGTCTAATAAATTGTATCAACATGGTTACATTGTTTGTGTATGCAGTAATGCTGTCTGAGAAAACCAGAGAATGTCTCATTTTAATCTTCCCCACTGACACATACCTCCCTCATTCCTCCTAAATCTCCCTAGTTAAGCTTTATGTATTTATGTATACCAAAGATTTAATATTGTTTTGATGCCACATGGAGTTAACCCTGGGTTCTCAAAGAGTATGCCATTAGAGCACACACTCTGACAAGGCTTTGAATGTGGATCTAGTGATGAAATGTATCTCTGTTTTACAAAGGCCAGGCTAGCTAAATACAGAGAACCTTATAATACCATTTTGGACAGTGTGTGTGTGTGTGTGTGTGTGTGTGTATGTGTATGTGTGTGTATGTTTGGCTACAACTGCTTTAGAATACTTTGCACTAAGTTATGAAAGACTTGCCCTCTGCATTTGTAGAGAGAACAAGGACTGATGAAATTATGCATCTCTAAACTATTGAAATATCTATTATAGACAGAAAGGAAGACTTGCTTTTTAGGACTTAGTACTGAACTCTTTCTTTTTTTTGAAGGTGCAAAATTCAAGCATAATTACATGTGATAGCTGATTAATGTATTTACAGGTTTATATTGTTTCCCAACTCTTTTCTTGCTATGATGAGTAATTTAAATGTTTTTCAAGATATTTGACATGGAACTTATACAAATATTGAACTAATCATTTAGTCCTAGAAAAATTAGTATCTTTTGGCAGTTTTCATGTAGGCAGAATGGTGTCATGGAAAGAGGATCTGGCTAGGAGTCAGTCAATAAGCATTTATTAAGTACCTACTACGTTCCAGGCACTGCATTAAGCACTGGGTACACAAAAAGAGGCAAGAGATAGTTACTGTCTTCAAGGAGCTCATGATCTAATGGGGGAGACAACATCCAAACAAATCCATACAAAACAAGTTACATACAGGATAAATAGGAAATATTGGAGGGTAAACACTAGAACAAAGAGGGATTAAGAAAAGCTTACTGTAGAAGGTGGGATTTTAGTTGGGACTTAAAGGAAGCCCAGGAATCCAGGAGCCAGGGAAAACATTCCAGGCAAGGGGGATAGCCAGAGAAAATGCTCAGAGCTGAGAGATGGAGTGTCTCATTCATGGAATAGCAAAGAGGCCAGTATCACTGGATCAAAGAGTATGTGGAGGGGTGTGGTATAAGGAGTAAGAGCAGACCAACCTACAGGCTATTAAATAGTTAAGGTATGATGCAATGGGTGGCAGCATCAGGGTAGAGAAGGAGACGTATTTAAGAGATGTTGCAAAGGTGAAATCCACGGGCCTTGGCAACAATTTGGATATGAAGAGTGAAAGATAGTATGGAATCAAGGATAGCACCTAGGTTGTGATCCTGAGTGACTGGAAGAAGGGGAAGTTTAGAAGGGAGGAGGGTTTTTGGGGAAAGACAATAAGTTCAGGTTTGGATATGTTGAGTTTAAGATGTTTGCTGGATGTCCAGTAAGAAGACCTGGGCATTTGTCCTGGCTTTGGCCTAAGTAGTGTAATCTTGGACAAGTCACAAACTCTTTGAACCACAATTTTCTTTTTTGTTGTGTAGGGTAAATTTTTTCTGCTCATCTCACAAGATTTTTGTAAGGGTCAAGATTGTGAAAATATTTAGTAAATGTTAAAGCACAATAGAAAAATATTATTATTGACTTGTTGATAGCAGGGGGAGAAGGAATTTGAGTAAATCCAGTAAACTCATTCTACACTATCCCTAGGAGTCAGTGTGCAATTATATTTCAAACACATGGTCTCTCTTATTGCAATCAATGACCCATTTAAAGTAAATAATCTTACAAGTAGGACTGTGAGAACATTGTTGCCTGAAATATCAGAAGATAAGTTTCAAATGACAGGTATTTAATGGATCATAGAACTAGAACTGGAAGGGATCTTAGACATCATCTTCTCCAACGCCCTCATATGTCAGGTAAATAAATGGAGGCCCAGGTGGTCAAATTTATAACTTCAATAAATCTGTGTCTTCATCACCATGAATACTGACTTCAAAGGTACATACCCTGCAAGCTTTCTCATTCTATGTGACTCTCATCCATGCTCTCCTAGAAATCTTCCCTGGTTATGCTAGGGGCCTTCCTTTAGATCTCTTGACATTATGTAGATACTAGTGAAACAGTTTTTTGTTGAACATTCACACTGACCACACATCTTTCCATTGCTCTCTGGACGACCAACAACTTTAATTCTTTGGGTACTATGGTATTCTGTAATTTACAGCAATATAGTACTGCCAGATAGATAATTGAGCCAACTATAAAAAATAAGCACATCAGTTATTTAGATTCATGTTGGCAAGCTATTTGAATTTTCTACCTTTCAACTTGCTGTTCTAGCATCATGTAGAGCCAGCTAAATTAGGGTACCCTTTCAAAGAAATAAAATCCTCCACTTCATCTTTTCCTCTTTTCTATCTCCTTTTCTGCTTTCCCACTCAGGCTTCTTTTCTTCATTTTCTTTCTCATCTCTTTCCTCCTTCACTCTCCCTCTGCTTCCTTTCTTTTTCTTACTTCTCTTCTGTTTTTCCCTCCTCTGTCTCTTTATTCTTGACTTATTATTTTTTGCCCTCCCTTTTGTCTCCTTCTCCTCTTTCTTCCTATACCATCCCTGACCTCTTCCTGATCCTCCTCTTCTGACAACTCTGGTATTCTTAGTTTTCTACCCTTCCTGCTATTGGTCCACATCCATACCCACCTGAGGCGACTGGGAATTTTGAAAGAAACTTGAAACATATGGGTTTTAGAAATGTACCATTCTGTTCTAGGAAAGCAGGATCCAGAAAGTTAGGATGACAGGATGGCAACCATCTTTGACCTCCTTACTGCCACCTTCACAGTTGTCCTGAGAGAAACAGGTCTTAAATATATCAGAATTGAAGGCTATTTCTGACTTGAGATTGAAGGAGGCAGCAGATATCTGTTGGAAAATCTCTACTTCCTCTTCCATCCTGAACTAGAGAAAACACACTGATTTTCTCATCCAGGAAAACAGTTTTCCCAGACCCTGCAGCCTTCATGTGAAAATCCTGCCTCATTTACCCTAGTGGAGTAGTTACTTCTGATCAGGCCAAACTGTGATGGCACTCTAGTAGATGACAAATGCTCTAATGATTTATTTAAAACTCTACTTCCCTCCTTGACTCTGTCCATGCTCAAGTAACCTTGAAGGACTGAGCTCCTTGCATCAATGAACTTAGACGCCTCTGAGAATACAAACCCTTTTCTCTACTTTCCATATTCCCAAAGACTTGAGTTTCCAGTTTATATACTTAAAGATGTATATATCTCTCCAAACAAGTATTAGCTCTTAGGAAGCTAGGCAGCACAGTGGATAGTGCTGGACATGGAGTCAGAAAGACCTGAATTCAAATTATGCTTCAAATGCTTTCTAGCTATGTGACTCTGGGCAATTTGTTTAATCTCTCTCACCCTGTTTCCTCAAATGTAAACTGGTAATAATGATAGCAATTGCTACACAGGATTGTTGTGTTATTGTGACTAAGATGATCAAACCTTAAAGCATTATATAAATACTAAATACAAAGAAGTTGCTGTTGTGATTTTGGATTTTAATAAGAATATCAATTAAGCACCAAAGATTATATGGTATGGTTGAAATCACAATATATTAAGAGATGGGAGATTTGGGTTCTAGTTCTACTAACGTTACCTTGGACAAGTTTCTTTCTCTAGGCCTCAGTTTCCTCATCTTTAAAATGAAAGAGGAGACATCATAATACAATGGAAAGAGTGCTAGATTTAGCCACTTATGAGCTACACAACTTTGGCTAGTCACTTAACCTATCTGGGCCTCGGTATTTCTCATATATAAAAAGAGGTGATTGGAATAGATGGTTCTTCCTTCCAGTTCTAAGTTCTATAATATTAGAGTGATGTGTGTGTGTGTTTGTGTTTGTGTGTGTTTTTAAGGGGAAAGGTATTTTATCTTCTCGATCACTGTAACGCTTCTAGCAACATACTGTGTTTGCTATTTTGAGGTTCACCCTAGCTGAGTAGAGAGAGACGTATTATCAGTAAGTCAGCCACATGGTAATAAATTCTTTGGCCATGGCAGCCCACGAAATAAAGAAAAATGCAAAATGGGCTTCAACCCTGTGTTTTTACAGTGATGGGAGCAGAAAGTCAGAATAAACATTAACTTAACTGTTGGTACTATAAATGTGAGATGTTTGTCCAGTGACGAACAAATAGATATGAGTGGAAGAACTGCATTGAATCAATATTGTAATTCTTACTAAAATGAAACAAAGAGACAAAGGGAAATTGTAGGCAATGGAAAATTACTCAGTTTCTCCTTTGGGGTGGAAGGGCAAATAAAGAAATAGATAAAGTTGTTCTTATGTGTTCAAATGCAAAAAGAACATGATTTTCAGGGTCATATTCTATTGTTGTAGAGAATGAAGGAGAGATGTTCTATGAAGAAATTGATAACATCCTTCAAATTAAAATAACATAGACTTTGATGCTCAGTGACCTTAATTCAAAGATGAAGACAATGAAAAATATATTAGAAAACAGTTCTGAAGTATGGAATAGGAGTTCCAGAAAACTTGTAGATTACATAGAAGCCTCACATTTATTTATTATAAATACTTTTTTTGAGATAAGAATATAGAAAGATTCTGGATGTGGTGAGCACCAAATAATATCTTAGAAATTGAAACATTAAATTTAATAATCAGGAAATGATACATCACTAATGTGGGAGTCATTTCTGAATCAGCCTTTTGTATACAGACTACCAACTTGTTTGAACATAGATAAAAAGCATCACAAAGCTAAGAAGAAAAAATTCAAATGAGAAAAAATGTTATTTAATTAACATAATGCAGTGTAACCTCTTTAAAGTTTTTATTGACATTTAAAAATAGAAAATGGATGGAGAAAAAGACATTAACACTGATTAAAACTACATCATAAAGAAGTTTAACTCATATAAATCACTTACAGTAATGAGGAGACCAAAAGAACCTGTTTTAGTCATCTAATACCTGACTTACTTCTTGAATGAAAAGATATGGAAGCCAAAAAACAGCATTAACTTAGAATATAATCTTGTCTTAAAACTTTGCAAAGGTGTATGGGAGGTTATGAACAGTATTGCCTCCTAAAACAAAGAGAGGTGTTGGAAAGGGAAAAATAAAACAGTTTAAAAGAAGTTTGGCCAGAGATCTAAGCAAGATCATCCTGAGGGAATTTAAGGATGCAACTGAAAGTAGGACAAAAAGAAAAATCTGAAAAAATATTTGTGCATATTTTTTATAACGAACTCATTTCACCATAAAAGACAGTTAAATCTATGTAGAGAAAGTGAAAGTGACATTGAAGAAAATTCAAGGATGAGAAAAGAAACTGGACAAGACCAAGTATATGCAGAGGAGATTCATGTTGGATGCACCACAATTTTAGGCAATGAAAGGATAAATTTTATGATATCTGAAGGATGAAGAGATATCAGAGGCATGGAAAAAATCTTACACATTATTATTAGGAAAGAAGACATCCAAGAGAACATGAATAACTACTCACATTCATTTATCTATCCAACTATCTATCTATCTATCTATCTATCTATCTATCTATCTATCTATCTA